TCCATAACTAACACACTGGTCAACTAATGTTCAAGTGGGCATGAAAGCAAGTTCATGGTTTCAGCATTCTGAACTTCAGCCTTAAGGCTTAAAAATGCTTATGCTGTGCAGCTCCAGACCTTGTTTATGCGGGCAAATGCTAAACCATGCTTAACCAGTGATGTTGTGGAAATTCTAAACAAGATCAATAGAACACAAAGTTTACATTAAACATGATGATTGTACCACTGCCGTGAGAAACAAAAATAAAAATAAAAAATTGCTAAAACCATTCAAAAATAGTTGAAACTTGTGGAAAATGCTAAATTCATAAATAATGTCTTACTTGAATAAACATAACTCAAAGAATGAAAAAATTTAAATTGTCAAACTTACAGTATGAGATCTAGTCATTGGTGAGATATAAAATAATAATTGTAAGATAATAATGTGCTGTGTTGCAAACGAGATATAAAGTCGCATTTATGAAATAGAGAGTTGCAACAGTGAGACTTAAAGTCATTAACTTTTTTCTCCACTCTTGAGGCAAAAAAAATAAAAACTTCCATAACTAACACACTGGTCAACTAATGTTCAAGTGGGCATGAAAGCAAGTTCATGGTTTCAGCATTCTGAACTTCAGCCTTAAGGCTTAAAAATGCTTATGCTGTGCAGCTCCAGACCTTGTTTATGCGGGCAAATGCTAAACCATGCTTAACCAGCGATGTTGTGGAAATTCTAAACAAGATCAATAGAACACAAATTATTCAAAACTTATATTATCCACACATATGTGCATCTGTCTGAAAACAGCCCCAATTTAAATTTTCCTCCAAAGAGCTCACTGTCTTTCTAGAGTTCTGTATGAGTGGATGAGAACCTGCCAAGTACAACAGGAGCCCTCAGAATTAAGCCCATTAGAGTGGGATATTCCCACTGACACGCAGCCTGTGGGTGCTCCCAAACTGCGCATGATGAGTGCAAATCCATTTTCTAAAGTGCCAAATGGTGCAATGTCATCTGTAGGGGACAAATCCAGTCTGCCATATGCTGCGAATGAAGAATCGGCAAACTACAACAACAGCTGGCCACTTGAAAACACAATTTTCATTGCTACATCGTGTAACTGCAGATCCATCTAATTCAATTATCATTAAAGGCGTAAAAATATCGCTCTTGTACGAGTGCATGGCAAGCATGCATTTATACACCCTGCATTACGAGGCATGTTTACTCATGTAAATAATGACATATTTGCATGTTCATCGCACATGTATCAAAATAAAAGCGACTTCTTCGTGTCCCAACTTTTTGCTTTCTTTGTTGCCCGTGACAGCTCTACCTCTGCAAATAGTATGCACTGTAATAACAGTGTGATTGCCATTCAACGGGAACACCACAATATCAGACCGCAGTGCTACCGGCATGCCAATCAAATCTTGACAATGCCAAATTAAAGGCCTTGAACTTTCCACTGCATGTTGAGGAAAAAAATCAGTTATCTTCAATGTCAGTGCAGTGCACTCAAAGACGTTCTTCAAACAATTTGATAAGCACTTTTGAAAATGCATTTTCTGTTTCCAAAAAGTATTACACCCTCTGAAGAGCGCAACTGCCTTTCATGTATTGACATCTTATTTTCTGTCTTTTCATGCCAATGTTTGTCAATAGCAATTTTCAGTGGTTGAATTTCTCTTGCCAACATATCAGGTTATGGAATCAGTTCAAACTAAAAATTCAATGGCCCACAAAATGATGAAATATGCAATATGTGTTATGGCAAGCTATTTAAATGCTAATTTATGAGATTAGTTAAATAAGTGTAACACCATTACATGTATTTAACGCAATTAAAACATTTATCTAATTTGATATTAAAAGTGCTTAATTCTGTTCTGTCTTTTAAAGAAGTGTTAGAAAACAGCACAAGTGTTCATGCTTTTGCCAGGCTCTTGTGTATTCCGGTGTAAATGAGAAGGACCTTCTAAATGTCAGTTTTATTTATTAATCAATCACATTATTCATGATTCATTAATCTTTCAACATACATTCTTATGAAGAACCTTTAACATCCACAGAACTTTTCCAATACACAAAACGTTCTTTATAGTGGAAAATGTACTTTAGATTATTAAACTGTTCTTCATACTAAGGTAAAAATTGTTCTTGAAAGTTTTTTTTTTTGACTCAAAATGGTTCTTCTATGGCATTGCTGCAATTGTGAGATAAAAAGTCACAATGTAAGATGTGAAGTCGGATTTGTGAGATATAAAGTTGCAATTGTGAGATAAAATCACAATGTGAGAAATAAAGTCACAATGTAAGATGTAAAGTCGGATTTGTGAGATATAAAGTTGCAATTGTGAGATATATAATTGCATCTGTGAGATATTTAGTAGCATTTGTGAGATATAAAGTCACAATTGTGAGATAAAATCACAATGTGAGAAATAAAGTCACAATGTAAGATGTTCAGTCAGATTTGTGATGTATAAAATCACACTTGTGAGATATAAAATCACAATCGATCCATGAAGAACTTTTAACATCCATGGAAACTTCCCGCTGCACAACATCATCTTTATAGTGGAAAAGTTCCTTTAGATTATTTAAATGTTCTACACACACACACACATTTGTTTCTGTGAATTGTGGGGACTTTCTGTTCTTCATACTAAGGTAAAAATTGTTCTTGAAAGTTTTTTTTTTGACTCAAAATGGTTCTTCTATGGCATTGCTGCAATTGTGAGATAAAAAGTCACAATGTAAGATGTGAAGTCGGATTTGTGAGATATAAAGTTGCAATTGTGAGATAAAATCACAATGTGAGAAATAAAGTCACAATGTAAGATGTAAAGTCGGATTTGTGAGATATAAAGTTGCAATTGTGAGATATATAATTGCATCTGTGAGATATTTAGTAGCATTTGTGAGATATAAAGTCACAATTGTGAGATAAAATCACAATGTGAGAAATAAAGTCACAATGTAAGATGTTCAGTCAGATTTGTGATGTATAAAATCACACTTGTGAGATATAAAATCACAATCGATCCATGAAGAACTTTTAACATCCATGGAAACTTCCCGCTGCACAACATCATCTTTATAGTGGAAAAGTTCCTTTAGATTATTTAAATGTTCTACACACACACACACATTTGTTTCTGTGAATTGTGGGGACTTTCCATAGACTTCTATTACTTTTATACTGACCAAACTATATTTTCTATTCCCTAACCCTAACCCTACCCCTTACAGAAAACCTGTTTGCATTGTAACACTTTCAGATAAACAGCGCAGGCCGGTCCCCGCAATGTCAAAAATTTCAGTTTTTACTATCCTTGTGTAGCATTGTAGCATAAACAAGCACACACACACACACACACACACAAAGGTTCTTTTAAAATATTTGTTCACAGAAAGGTTCTTAGTGGAACCAAAATGGTTCTTCTAGGCACTGCTGCGAAAACCCCATTCTGAAACCTTTACGAGTGTAGTTTAAAGTTTTTACCAGCAGACTCAGCAACACTTTGTCGTACAATATACTGAAAAACTATTTTCTTACTCATATCAGAAGCAGAAAGTCCACACACAGCCTGATTTATTGTGTTTTGCTTTGCACTGACCCTCAAGCTACCTCTAGTGCTAATGGTTCTGTTTGGTTTGTTCTAGTCTTTTCACAGATTGAGAGGTTTTTTTTTTTTTCTCAGTTTTTTGTCCCAGTCCATCAATGTCTGATCGGTGCATTGAGATAAAGCTGCTCATAACTGCTGGTCTAGGATCAGTTCCTCCTACCCACATCCAAACCTTAACTATAAGTCTGATGGGGAAATCTGACTGTAGATCAGTGGCTGTGGAAAAAATATATTTAATTTCAAATGTTCCAATGTGCAATTCATGAAATAAAAAGATTAATTTTATTTAAACTCTCAAATACCTCAGTTTATCCTTAGGATTGTGTAACTGAAGAAGATCGACATTTAGCTATGTCTACAGAGCTGCTGAACAATCCAGAAAAATTAATATGCATGTTTCCACTTCAGCTGTGAAAGTTGACAGAAAAAAGAGAACGAAACATCCCTCACGTCTTATTTCTTTCATTAGGCTTCACACATAAATGTCAACACAGATAACGTCCTATTCCTGCAAGCTGGCTGACATTAAATGACACCCCGTGCACAGACTTTTATATTGCTTTCTCTGAAAAGTGATTTCACAGGCTGAATCTTTTCTTTTCTTGCCTGACTCGTGTACAGCTGTGGTTTGCATTATAACAGATTAATTAAAATGCAGTCAGTGTCCTGGAAGTCGGGTAGTGGAGGAAGACATGAATACATAGTAAACGTGAGGGATTTACTCTTAGATGTGCTGAGGCTGCTTGACATTATTTGATGTCATATCCAAACCCTCTTCAAAAATTGCCCCAGATTCACTTTCCTCATCTAATTTTGACGTATTTCTAAATATCTAATTGAAAGAAAATGATGAAGTTTCATGTGTGGAGCCACTGAATAGAAAATGAGACATTAACATAAAACTGTATATTGAATGAAGCTGATTGAGATTTATTTTTAGTTGCACACCAAAATTAGGTAATCTCTCACAAGATACAATAGATAATTCAGCCCGATCAATTCAGCCCATGACCATGAGTGAGCTTCAATATAAGAGACAGTTCACCCGAAATCAAATCTGTCATCATTTATTCACCCAAACCTGCAAAAACTTTCTTTCTTTCTTCAGTGGAACACAAAAGAAGACATTTTGAATTCAAATTTGAGTTTTTAAACACCAAAAGGGACTAAAAGCATCATAATAGTGCTCCATATGTGTCCTGAGGTACTGTATACCCCAGGTCATTTTTGTGGGAGAGACTGAAATTAAAGTCCATGATGACAGAATGTTTATTTTAGGTGAGCTATCACTTTAAGAAATATAACTAGTGACATTGCCTAGATAATTAACAATGCTATATTTTCTGTAAACAGCATTGCAACGTAAAGGAAGATTTCCTTTACCTTTTCCACCACCTTTTGAAGAACGGAATTTCCAAAAAATGCTGGGTTCAGGTCGTCCGATGGCCAGACACATGAGGCTTACATTACTACCCTCGTTCACTGAAACATCCGCGGATATGTTTACAATCCTGGCAGGAACTGAAAAACAAAACAATGCAACACTGTAATCACACATTTGATAAAACTTCTGTAAAGAAAAGTCGGCACTTATGTGATTAATCATCTATTAACAAAAAATGATGACATAATCAGGGCCCAGAGGATGTTTTCAATGTATTATTATCAGGATGTGTGTGTATTTTTAGTAAACCCTGTTCACTTATGCAAGCAGCAGATGCAAGTTACATTCACATTTTCGGTTTTCCCTAGAAAATTCTTATGCAAAAGTCTTGCAACGATTTTCCAGGGCATGTTGTTATTTATATTTTATAAGGTTGTATTTTATAAAGAAAAACAAACATGATACAAGCAGTGTACAAAGCAAAAGAAAACAGTTTTTATTAAAAATATAGATCTCATATTCAGATTGTTGTAACTTTGTGGTAACATCTTTGAAAATTATATGTACTACTGTAAGGGTCTACTGTAGTACACATAAAACAGTAGAAACAGTAATATTGTGAAATATTATTACATTTTTTAAATAACTGTTTTCTGTTTTTATATCTGTTAAAATGTAATTTATTCCTGTGATAGCGAAGCTGAATTTTCATCAGTCATTACTCCAGTCTTCAGTGTCACATGATCTTTCAGAAATAATTCTAATATGCTGATTTGGTGCTCAAGAAACATTTCCTTCAACAGAAAACTGTTGTTTAATATTTTTTTGTTGACATATTTTTAGGATTCTTTGTTAAATAGTAAGTTCAAATAATGGCATAAGTGTTTATATGCATAATTTATAGATCTATATTTTTATTCTCCCATCTATCGAGACTGGTGTATGAACTATGATTCTAATTTGAATACAGTGATTCTAGAATCCAAGGTTTCTTTATAACAATTCTGACAGCATTTTAATTAGGTGGTTATCCTCTAACAGTGAATGTGTTCTAAAGTGTAACCCTTGAGTTTTGAAGTCATTCCAATTATAGAACCATACAGTAATTGAATTGATTGTACATCAATCAAATGATTCTTTAGGCTTTGTAGATAAATCTACATTCAGTCGATTAGAATAACGCCTCAGAATTACATGCTGCGGTTTGATTGACGTGATGAGATGAGCAGGTCATGCTCTGTTAAGGTAATGTTGTTTATAACTTGACTGAAACTGGAAATGGTACCCAGACAGTCTGTCAGTTTTCTTGACTGTGTTCCATGTTTCAGTCTGAATAAACCAAGCAGCCAGTATCTCAGAGATATTATTTAGTTGGCGTTCTATCGGGCCTGCCTCATACGGGAGTCTGCTATCTATGTTTGCTGAAAAAGTAAATATTTTATGGTAAATTCTGTTTACTGAAGTTTTAGTGAGTCATCCAAGCAGGCACAAGAATTTTCTTAAGGGACGTCACTCACTCACACACACACACACACACACACACACACACACAGGTACACCAATGTGCACAAACACACTCCAGTATGACTGAATAATTGATCTGTAAAAGAAGTCTGGACTGCAAGCAAAAAACAGCTGCTAATACAGATACTGAGGTCAGAGTCTTCCAAGTTTCTGCAATTTGACTACTGATTCACTCACGTGCCGTTAAATATTTAGCATGTAAATGACAATGATTCAGAAAAATGTGTAATGGAAAACATAAATTAATTTAGTTTGAAATAAATCCAGTTATCCACGTAAGCCACCAGTGTATGACAATATTGTGTCTTATCTATCAAATCATAACAGCAGGGGGAAAGTCCTGATGGGACTAATTACATTTTTCTCCAGAACAATCATTTTCTGTCTGTAATAAAATTGAAAATACTTCAAAAGAACAAGTTTCATGAGTTATAGCTTAAGTGAGTCTGTGTGTGTGCATGGCACAAGATTGAAGCAATGAAACTGGCCAATTCTATCTATCTATCTATCTATCTATCTATCTCTCTCTCTCTCTCTATATATATATATATATATAAACTTATTTTATTTCAGCTATTTTCATTTTTACTGTATAACTTAATATACTAAAATACCTGAAACTAATAAAAATGACAAAAACACACAGCAAATTTACTACAACTTGTAAAATAAAATTGAAAATGAAAATAATTGAAAATGAAATTGAAAATAAATACAATTGAAATGAAAACAGAAAATATAACAATAAAAATGGAATCACAATATTAATATACATTATAACTATAATAGTATCTCAGTGATTCTAAAATACCACTGGTCTCTGAATATATTTGTCTGCATTTTAAAATATTACATATTTTAATTATCCATTTATTTATAATAACCCATCTAAAATTAATAATAATAATAATAATAATCAATAACAAAAATAAAATAATAATAAAAACACTATTTAACTTCATTTGTGAATATTTACTGGAATGAATAATAAAAAAAATAAAAAAAAATCACAATCACAGCAAAAGATGTGTAAGAGAGCCGTCCGCTTCTTTCTGGTGAATATTTCATCCTGTGATGAGCACTTTGAGTCACGGTGCTTTTCACCATCCTGCATTCCCTGTGTTCTCACCACTTCCCTCCCTTACATCAAAGGTATTGTTTCATCCCTGTATCTCAATCTATAATTGATGGCTTCGGCTTTCTAACCATGAATTCCAAATTCAGGCCACTGTTTCAAACAGACCAGTTTCAGCTCCTCAAAAGAGAGAGAGGACAGAGTTCAGAGCATGAACAGGCAGAATGACTATGCTAACATTTTCCAAAGAGACACACGCAAGTCGAGTTATATAACTCAGGTTACCTCTCCTCAAGAGCGTGTGTGTTTGTGGTAAACTGCTGAAAATGGATCCATCATTCTCAGCCAAATGACAAACCTCAACCATCCTCAAGTTCGTGATGAAGTATCTTTCTGTCTACGTGCCCAAATTCCCACCATCTCTGAGCAATACCTGTATTTTTAATTGGACATGCGCTGGGTTAAAATAACTGCAGAAGGCAGAAAACCCACAGAAATCAGTGGGAGAAAAACTCGTTCATGAGCTGCCTCTGGTGATATAGCTGCCGCTAATGTTTCACCTGGGCAAATTGCACTGGCTTCGTCTCTACATTTATATTCTCATAACCCTACTGAATCTTTCCAATGGCTCATTACTGCTCTTTAAAATTAGAAAAAAAAGAGTTGCCTCCTGATGCAATGGTGGAAACTGAAGCATACTATATAGAAAACTGCAACAAGGGACTGGAAAAGCAGCAGCCATAAAAATATGGCAACAAGGGAATGCTGAGTTAAAGACATAAATGTAACCAATATAAATTTTGTAGTGAACTTGAAAAAATGCATAGCACAAAAAATAAATAAATAAATTTATATATATATATATATATATATATATATATATATATATAGAGAGAG